ACCTACATAATGCCGTTTGCCAAACTCTCAAAAGCAATTTGTAAGAACACTTGGTATTCCGTGGCCAAAACTACACAACATATACATCCCCACTCGCCCCTAATGAACCGAACGCATATGCATGTGTGACAATCAAAGTGTGAGTGACATCCGGTCATAGAACTGGATTGTTAATTATCCACACACACACATCCCACTTTGTCAATATTTCTCTTATCTACTAAACAGATTGACATAAATTGTGATGTATTAGTGTGTATAAAATCAACGAAAACGAGCTTATTTGCTACTGTTTTTTGTTATAATAGTTTTTTCTCCCTATTTCACCTTATTAAGTCCCCATCTGCTAACACTCTGCAGATTCTTGTTCATGCACACACACACACACAAGGGTATAATTGTGTACAATGGACAAAATAAGTGTTTTGTTTTGTTTTTGTTTGTTTTGTTTTAGGACAGTTTTCGATCGGTAAACTCTGATCTCGAGTAGTGTGTACTTGGTTTCACACTTCAAATGTGACGCAGCCATTAGCACGTTTATTCCAATGCCTCATTGAAAGTATGTCTGATGTCAACCCAGCACAATTCGAACCGGAAAGCAACAAGCAGATGTCATTTTCGATGCAGAACATTCAGCTGAATCTATGCTGCTAAATGCCACCGATTCATAGCCATGCACATGTTTTAAGTGTCCTGACCAAGCGTTTACCATAGTCCCTTCAGCTTAATTTGGTTGTCATCATCAAGGGAAGTGCGAGTAACGAGAGTTGAAATTTTCGGAGAATCGCATCACAACTATCCTCTTACACATCATAGGGAATGCAAACCCATCTATGGTTTAAATGGCCATCTGAATAGATAAATATGTTTGACTCGTTTATGACATTTTGTCAAGGCTGCAGTCAGTCACCTTTGCAGTGTTATGCGGTTATTAGTGGTTCCAGAAACAGTCTGCGGGAGGGATTGGAAACGCCAACCGCACTACTGAAACGAGAGTGGATTTGTGTAAACAAACATTTAGCCAATAGTTTTCAACTATTAAACTCAAATATTTTTTATTTCAATTCGTGATGCCTCGTTTGTTTGGCTGTCACTGCTGTGGGAGTTGGTGAATACTGATATACATTGAGTGTATTGTCAAAGATTGTATCGTGTATAACTTTTGCAAGCACTGATGCTCACATTTTAGTTAAAAATTCACACGCCAACCGTCGTAAAGTACATAATCAACGGGGAGAAAGGTTTCATAGACACGGGGACATTTCATAATTCAAGGTTAAGACAAAGTTTACTTATTATCCTCTCTTTGTTTTTGAGTAAACGAGCAAGATACGTGGGATGTCATGATGCCAACTCAACTGTCGCCTGTTTGGGTCCTTCAGTTCGACTGCTCTAACTACTTTCATTTAGGGTGTATTCTAAGGGTAGAACTTACATAAAAATATACCTACTCGACTTACTCAAAACCACCACCATTTTCCCTTATTTTTATATATTTTTGAAGATCTCTGGCGTCAAAAACCAGTTCGTCATCCTCAGATTACGTGGGAGACCAGAGTTCGACCTGTTTCCGGAATCGATGACACCAGACAGCCGTCAAGTTATGAGATTCCATGGTTGGGAACACGTGAAGACAATGGAATGCTCATGGTAGGTGGTGTTCGACTTCGAGAAGAATGGTTGGGTGAGTTCCGCTGTCGAGCCCATGACCCAGTGTCCAATGCTTCAGCGGAATCCGAATGGGTTCAATTAGAGGTTCTTGTCGGAGACACACGTAAGTGGAAGCCGATACAAATCCCTTCCATTCATCCATTGCTTACTTAGATCACTGAGTTATTTACTTAATAATCGAACTACATACGTATGGGAATGCCTAAAGTGATATGTTGGAAAAAAATCTCTGCGTGTTTCCATCTTGCATCATTAACTATATATTCTATATATATATATATACATATATATATATATATATTTTCGAGGGAGTTCAAATTTATAGAGATTATAAAAGTGTAGTTAGGCAAGAATTTCGTTCGGACTCAGTGAGCTTCATTTTAAATTGCTAAGTATTATTCCCTTATCAGGGATAAACTGGCTACTAAAAATTACCAGGTATTTGTTATAATGTGTGAACATAAAAAACATCTTTGGGTTCGGGTGCATTTATACAAGTAAAGAGGTTCGACCAACATTAGATGTTGCAGAGTGTAATATTTTAGCTACTTTCAACGGTGATTATTCTATACTCACTGAATGTTTTATCATGGTTCCTTAATTTCTTCTGGGTTGAGAGAACTCGTGCATTCCTAAATCTTCATGCAAGCAGTAAATAAACTATCCATTTTGTCCCCCTCTCTTCACTGCTTCCATTAGTTACACGGATACCCAAAATACGTCTGGAGGCTAAGTCCAGCCCGGAATTTCCCTACTATCCAACGCGAGTGGATTGTATTGATGATAACACAGAAATCCCTTCGGAAGTGACATGGACCAGACAAGAATCCACAATTCCACAGGTGCGTTTTAGTCACATTCACTGTCCACCAATGTTTGTTCATTTGGAACGCCTACCCCCCCCCCACCTCCTTCATAACACTGTCGCATTGAATCGAAGGGTAAATTTAGCAGGCAAACATTTCTATCTCCCTGACAAAACTTTGAAGAACCCTTAACAAACTGCCTTCAGATCGCTAGACAGGTTTGTATTCAGAGTACAGGGCCCCTTTGCTTTAATTTCGATTAGACCTGTACATCCTCGCTGTTGTTATAGTTGTTGTTTCTGCTGTTTTGGTGCACCTACTGGATCGATGCGATCCCCACCCCACTGTGGACAGAGTTCATTGGTTGTAGTAATACCTTCGTCGTTCCATTCCAAGGACTAGTTTCCTTGGGTGACTACCAGATGTGAACCCGTGATGACACAAGGAAAACGACCAACATCTGCCCAATGCGGTTCAATGTTGTACTGATTTGGTCCGATAGCTCAGATTTATCTGCATAGCTACACAGAACTGTGATTTATCCAATGTATTCCAATGTGTCAACTTCAGTGAGTTAAATATAGTTTTCAAAACCTTCTGAGAGTGATTGCAAATAATGGACAGTCGGGTTAATCGGTTATTTTAATTGAATTGACTTGATTCTCGGTGAAAATTCGCAACCCAAATTTGATCAAACTTCTCTCTCGGTTTTTATTTGGTTCAATAATGTGTATTGTTTATTATTATAAGTCGTGGCAACACAACAGTTTAGAGTTCAGTCAAAATGGTTACAGTTATTCTGTCTGATGAGGTAATTAGCCAAATTTTCAACTCGTCAATCAGCAACTAAAAACTACCCCACTAAAAAAACAAAACGTTTAGGAGGCTTCTTATAAAACACTACAAAGATCACTTAGCTACTGATCTGCTACGGAACCATTCTCAACACGAATGACCTTCATAGAATTGACTGTTATTATTTGGGGTCAGATAAATGACAAGTCGTCCACAAATGCAATCGTTGCAAGTTGAACCCGATATCATTTGGGCAAACGGGGAGAGATAGTACACGAATCAAGGTTGTCAGAAATACATGAAACGAGAAATGTTAACCCATAAAAAGGTTATTTTTGCAGTCAATTTATCGTTATCAGACTCTTCTGGCCTACATTTGAGATAATATTTGTCTGATCACTAATGATTATGGGAACACATGACCCAAACGGTTGTCTTGTCTCCATGTGTTGGGTACTAGTTACGAGATAGGTTGATTATCACTACCCAGACCGATTCATTCATCACTTCATAAAACGGCTCTGCCCACAGGAAGCATACTGCTAACCGAGGGGTAAAAGACATTAACTGACATCTAAAACTTCATACAAAATCACGGTGATAATGCCTAACCCGTTTGTTGTTCCCAACCATGTCCCACTTGATGCCCGCGCTAACCGGGAAGCACATATGTTGTCAGGTAATCGTGTTCTCGTGGTACAAATCTGGTTGGCGCAATCATGGGACCTAGAAACAAATAGACGATGTAATAAGCCTTTTCTGGTCGCGAAAAACACTATCACCAAACATTGAGCTGAAGAACGGGATAATACCACAATATTTGGTGACGTGCATCAGGGCTCTCTGGGTCAGCTATGTGTACTGAAAGCAAACGATGATGATCAACCACTCAATAAAAAAACTATTTACGAGATCAAAGGAATGGGATATTGTAGTGCACGGCTCTGCTCTTCTCAGGAGCGGCGTTGCGACCTATTCATCTGATACTTACTTATCCCTCACCACTTGCCAATCGCATTGAGGATTAAAGCATTAAACTAAATCACCAAGCAGGCCTGATCCATTCACTCACAAATCGACCGCATAAGCATCCGTGACCACTAGCTATCTACAATGCACCTGTTTAACTCTCTAAAAAAATATCCTTTCCCAGTGCCTGTGACTAAACTTTGTGTTTCATTGTGGATGGTCCAAAGTAAAAATATCATGGTAACAGGTGTTTCTCCAAATTATTCTCAAACAAAAGCATTCGTTGCTTTGACAGAATGTCTGAACTGTAATATTTGTGGCATCAGCAGGAATGACAAGCTCGATTTACCCTCAGTTAGGTCGCATCCGATTGACATCTATGAGAAGTTCGTTTGATTCTTTCTAAGACAAAACAGGAGTTTTATGGGATAAAAAGAATGGATGACATCAGATTTATGAACCATTTAGATTATGTAATCAAGTGGATCGTAGCAATCTATTATATAAGTTCAACTGAGGAGAACACATGCACTGGATGTATTTGATATTGCTATTGAGGAGAAAGCTGCTAACCAATGATTGTTACGGAGGATGTATGGGCATTGACTGACTAGGTGTAACACTAAGACACTAAGGATTTTATTCATTTCGGGACTGAACATTTTGCACCACCTGCAGAGAGAGACTATGGTAATCCTCCGTGTCACATATACATAATGTTTCGTATTATGGCAGTGCCTATTTATTGTTTTATCGTTTGACCATGCGTCAAATCCATTACCACTGCACCCGAGACGAAGGTGTGCAAATCCTAAATTGGCCATTCTTTGAGGAGAGAAGGGGGATGTTGATGAGCCGCATCAGTTCTCATGAGCTTTTCATTTTTTATCGTTTCGTCGTATAATCATTTGTTTGCCTTCACGTGCGTGTTCTAATCACCCAAGCAAGTACCCTGTTTTATCCCGCACACATTCTTGCCTGAAAAGAAACTGAAATAGGAACATTTATCCGTTCGTAAAT